AGATTAGATGACAAATAACATATTAGGATTGTAATATGTTACTTTTAGTAGAATGCATGCTAAATTAGAGTCATCTGCAGAACGATTTCTAAGCGAGTATTTAAAGTTATTCATCTCTGAAAATAATGACTGACAAGCGTAGGTAGTTGAAAATATGGTTAAAAAGCATGAGTCAGCTTCTTTAAACAGTTAAATGTGCCTGGAATCTATTTTACAGATTATGCTCTACATGAAATTGTTCCAAAACATAAGACACACAGCACTTAGTCACCTTTACTAATCATGCTATGTTTGTCGATCTACCAAGTTTGATATTCTCTGTTACACTTACTATCATTCACTTTATTGTTTTTTGATGAACTAGCCATGTTACACAGAGGTTAAAACTTGAAAACATAATACACAAACAAACTTTAAAATATAGTTGTATCAACGAAATTTATTATGCTGCATGTAAACAAACTTCGCATCATTAACAATTATAGTCCACTACGTACAGCGGTCAGAATAAGTATTCGGGATGCGAATAGTTCTTCATATATTGAATTAATAAATAAAAACTGTATGGAAAAACAAAACATTTTTTATTGATTTTAAGTAAGCATTATTAAGTATTAAATGCAGCCTCTTTTGCAATAACTAAAATGTAATAAATTAACAAAATTACCATTATTATATTCAAAATTACAGTTATACAAGCAAAGTATTCGACAAGACATAAAAATAAATGAAAATAATACAATTAATATAAAACTAATATCTAGTATATCTTCCTCTCCGACGTATGACTTCTTTTAACCCTCTTGCTGTTCTTCCCGCGATTTCCACGGGCAACGCAGATGTAGCAAAATTTGCGCAACACGCGATTTCCACGGGTATGCATTTTTCCGACTATTTAGATGTGCAACCCGTGCTGCTCTTGTTTATGCTTTCATTTGTGTTTTTATGTTCATATTTTGATGATATAATGCTGTATTTTAAAATCAAAACTTTTCTACAAATATTTTTTGTATATTTTAACTCTAAAATGTAGATTAAATATGTAGATATGAAATACGTAATAAAATCATACGTAATTTTTGAACCTACTTTGGTAAAATAACTACGCAGCAAGAGTGTTAAACGCTGTGGTATTGATTTAACTAACTTTTCTGTCACCTCTTGGTCAATTTTTGACCATTCTTCTCTAAGGATCTCCTCCACTTGACGTCTGTTCCAAAAATGGCACTCTCTTAATCTTTTTTCGAATATACCCCACAGGTGCTCAATAGGATTGAGGTCTGCACTTTGGGCAGGCGTTTTTATAACTTTGGGGCAGTTGTACAGCAGCCAAAGCCTTGTATTTTGAGAGGAGTGTTTGGGGTCATTGTCTAGGTAAAACTGGTATTCCTCCTCTATTCCCAGTTTTTCAGCACTGGCACGTAAATTTTCTTTTAAAACCTGTATGCAATACGTACGGTCCATTATGCCGTTAATCAAAGATTTTCTTATAAATCTTACCCTGTTCACTTAATTACGACATTGTTACCTACTCCTGGAGCACAAACCATTTTACCTCCTCCTCCATACTTTATTGTGGACACCATATTTCGTTCTTCCAACTCAGCATTGCGTTTTCTATACACTATAATTTTGCCATCACATCCAAAAAGATTGAATTTGCTCTTGTCTGCAAAAATTACATTGTGCCTAAATTCTATTTGTTTGTTTGCATATTTTCTAGCAAATTCCGGTCTTTGCACTCGGTTCTTTTTATATATAAATATGGCTTCTTTCGAGCAGTTCTAGCCTTAAATCTATTATTATGCAGGCAATTTCTAACAGTTTGAAGAGTTGCATCTATGTTCAAAAAAAGAGTGTGTGTGTACTTATGTACGCATGTAAGAAGATATGCTTCTTTGGCGTAATATGATTAAAATCTATCTAAAAATCTTTTAAGGGCAAACTTGGCCAAGGACGAAAGGCGGTCATGAGCAGAGTTGAATGGTACTAACCTTCAGTTAATCGGACCAGCCAAACCTGAGATAATCATGATTTAAATAAATTTAACCTCCCCCGCACAGGGACAGTAGGGATGATAACATAGGAGGGATTAGACTGTATCTGGAGATGAAGTGAACCGAATGTGACATCTGAGACCTCATATTGAATCTCTCGGTGGGAAGAATCGTTCCTGAGAAAATAAAGACATCCGCTTGAAGAGCCCCCGAGTTATGATCATTTTTAAATAATTAAAACATTTAAAACAATAAAACAAAATAGAAGCAGAGCACCCAGCAACTCAAAACTGGGCCTGGTTATGAGCAAACACAAGAGGAATCCATTAGAACCGGTCCGGAGTCTGTAGTTGCAAATGGGGCGGCGCTAGCTTGGGAAAGAAAAGCGCAATTAACTCCCCCCGGAGGGGAACAACTGTGACGTAACTGGTCCCGTACATCCCAACGGTACACATAGTAGTAGGTGATCCTAAAGTTTCATCTGTCTCTCTCTGTAATAACGTTACGACATTAAATGATCGAACCCCATAAGTAAAACATGGGGATTCTAATTTTAGTGATAACACCCACTATCTACACACGAATTTTAACAGATGAAACAGCTCAAAGAGGAAAACCTATGGTCTGAGTTTTTTTAACGATTCTCGAAAATCCTCGGAGTTATGCGGGATTTAAAAAATTATAACTTTAAATTAATTTTAAAATGTTAAATATAGGTAATGAAATGGGGCTATGGTCCTGAAAAAATATATCTAGGATGCTCATAGGAAGAACAATCGAATTTAGCCAGTGCGGTTGATCAAGGTGGTATAGGATTCGAGTTATTTCTGGGGAAGTTCTGTAGGGGGGAGAGGGCCAATTCCACGTAAAGCTCGCGCTAATACGAAAATATGGCGGATCTCCAAAAACCAAGTCCCAAACTCAATTCCTTAAGGATGGGAAATTTTTTTCAGTCCCCATAGGATTAACATGGGAGCAGTAGTGCACACAAAGGGGGTCAGGGGTCCGGACCCCCCACCCCCAAAGCTCTTGATTTTTTTTCCGATTGATTATAATTCTATGTATATAATACGCAAAATTTAACTAAGTATTTGTTATTAATGATTAATTTTATTAATTAATGCTAATTATTTATTCAATAATTAGTTTTTTACTGTATTTTGTTCCCGAAAATCGACAAAATCAAAAGGAGCATGATACAAGAATGGTAAACTTTCGACACCGGACCCTCCCCTCCCACTTGAAAAATTTTTGTGTGCCCCACTGCATGGGAGCATAATATTTTAGTGCTGAAGCCCTCCCCATGCTTACACAATAGGAATGAAGCAGATAACTGGATAGGTCTCGACGAGTGGAAACCTTGGTTCAAATCTCAAGTCCGAGACTCGAACAGGAACCAAGATATTGTGAATTTAAGCAAATTAAAAAAAGTTTAAGACAGTTAAAAACTATGGAAGAAATAGCCCCATGAGCAGACACACACACACATGAAATTATACTAACTGGAAGAGCAGATAGAGAGGGATCGAATGAGCCAGGCCCTAATGGACTGTGAGGCTCGGGTGCCGAGCTATATTGGCCAAAGTGCTGTAGAGGGGGGGATGCGTCCCAACATGTATGGTTTATAACAATAGTTATTATGATCCTCCAAATATCAGTCGCATGGCGCTCAAAAATTGGTAGGCTAAAATATTAGACAACGGTGTGCGCGCGCGCATCGGTGTCGTGATGGTATGCACGCATCGTAAAAATTTATCCTCATCCGTTTTCCCTTACGCCTCAAAAGAATAACTTCAAAAATAAATATACGAATAGAAAAGGCTCTTATAATTTGATACAATGTAATAAATGTGTTTATGTTCATCGCAATACATTCGTAGTAAATACATCTATAATCATACACTTTCAATTTTTATTTAAATAGGTAAACTAATGCTCATTCTTATATGTTTTATGTATTTGAAACACAATTTAAAGATTAATTTGCTATTTTTTAAAAATTGTCTCTATGTTTGGTATAATGACAAAAAATGTTCAAACAAATGCATCAGAGAAGCTCCATAATCGAAGGATGATCTCTCCCTACTAATAGTGACGTCACAAATCAGCGCAAAGCAAAGTTTCGCAGACACGGGGAGGGGGATATAGCTCAGTGGTAAAGTATTCGACTGCCGATTGAGCGGTCTCCGGTTCTAACCCGAGTTCCCTTTTCTTCAGGGAAGTGAAGAGAAATATTATTTTGAGAATTTCGAATGTGTGTGAATGTGTAATCTCTCACGTTCTGTTTATTTCTAGACAAAGAATTTTCGTATCCGTTCCTACGGAGCGCAAAGCAAAGGCTCGCTGACACGGGGAGGGGATATAGCTCAGTGGTAAAGTATTCGACTGCCGATTGAGCGGTCTCCGGTTCTAACCCGAGTTCCGTTTTCTTCAGGGAAGTGAAGAGAAATATTATTTTGAGAATTTCGAATGTGTGTGAATGTGTAATCTCTCCCGTTCTGTTTATTTCTAGACAAAGCATTTTCGTATCCGTTCCTACGGAGCGCAAAGCAAAGGCTCGCTGACAGGGGGAGGGGGATATAGCTCAGTGGTAAAGTATTCGACTGCCGATTGAGCGGTCTCCGGTTCTAACCCGAGTTCCCTTTTCTTCAGGGAAGTGAAGAGAAATATTATTTTGAGAATTTCGAATGTGTGTGAATGTGTAATCTCTCCCGTTCTGTTTATTTCTAGACAAAGCATTTTCGTATCCGTTCCTACGGAGCGCAAAGCAAAGGCTCGCTGACGCGGGGTGTATAGCTCAGTGGTAAAGTATTCGATTGCCGATTGAGCGGTCTCCGGTTCTAACCCGAGTTCCCTTTTCTTCAGGGAAGTGAAGAGAAATATTATTTTGAGAATTTCGAATGTGCGTGAATGTGTAATCTCTCCCGTTCTGTTTATTTCTAGACAAAGCATTTTCGTATCCGTTCCTACGGGGCGCAAAGCAAAGGCTCGCTGACGCGGGGAGGGGGATATAGCTCAGTGGTAAAGTATTCGACTGCCGATTGAGCGGTCTCCGGTTCTAACCCGAGTTCCCTTTTCTTCAGGGAAGTGAAGAGAAATATTATTTTGAGAATTTCGAATGTGTGTGAATGTGTAATCTCTCCCGTTCTGTTTATTTCTAGACAAAGCATTTTCGTATCCGTTCCTACGGAGCGCAAAGCAAAAGGCTCGCTGACGCGGGGTGTATAGCTCAGTGGTAAAGTATTCGATTGCCGATTGAGCGGTCTCCGGTTCTAACCCGAGTTCCGTTTTCTTCAGGGAAGTGAAGAGAAATATTATTTTGAGAATTTCGAATGTGTGTGAATGTGTAATCTCTCCCGTTCTGTTTATTTCTTGCGACAAAGCATTTTCGTATCCGTTCCTACGGAGCGCAAAGCAAAGGCTCGCTGACGGGGAGGGGGATATAGCTCAGTGGTAAAGTATGCGACTGCCGATTGAGCGGTCTCCGGTTCTAACCCGAGTTCCCTTTTCTTCAGGGAAGTGAAGAGAAATATTGTTTTGAGAATTTCGAATGTGTGTGAATGTGTAATCTCTCCCGTTCTGTTTATTTCTAGACAAAGCATTTTCGTATCCGTTCCTACGGAGCGCAAAGCAAAGTACGCGGGGTGTATAGCTCAGTGGTAAAGTATTCGATTGCCGATTGAGCGGTCTCCGGTTCTAACCCGAGTTCCCTTTTCTTCAGGGAAGTTATTATTTTGAGAATTTCGAATGTGCGTGAATGTGTAATCTCTCCCGTTCTGTTTATTTCTAGACAAAGCATTTTCGTATCCGTTCCTACGGGGCGCAAAGCAAAGGCTCGCTGACGCGGGGAGGGGGATATAGCTCAGTGGTAAAGTATGCGACTGCCGATTGAGCGGTCTCAACCCGAGTTCCCTTTTCTTCAGGGAAGTGAAGAGAAATATTGTTTTGAGAATTTCGAATGTGTGTGAATGTGTAATCTCTCCCGTTCTGTTTATTTTTAGACAAAGCATTTTCGTATCCGTTCCTACGGAGCGCAAAGCAAAGGCTCGCTGACGCGGGGTGTATAGCTCAGTGGTAAAGTATTCGTCTGCCGATTGAGCGGTCTCCGGTTCTAACCCGAGTTCCCTTTTCTTCAGGGAAGTGAAGAGAAATATTTTCCTGAGATTTTGGAAGGCGGCAATTATCGATCCCGCTCTGTATATTTCTAGACAAAGCAATTTCGCATCCGTAACGGTGTGCGTCATTTCCGTAAGGGTTTTTAAACACATCCGTGACGGTGTGCACGCGCGTCGTTAAAATTCACCCTCATCCTGTTTCTCTAATGCCTCAAAAGAAGTATAACTTCAATAATCCTTGTTAACTTTAGCCGAATTCAATGCATTGGTTTTGGGTTCCTTTTTAATTTCATGTACAAGCCATCGCTCCACCGCTTCGGAAAATGTTTTTGGTCGACCAGATCTTGGCCTGTCATCAACCGATTTTTGCTCTTTATAATTTTTAACTACATAATGTATACTTGTTCTTGGCCTATTTACACTAGCAAAATTTTTTTTTTAGATAAACCAATTTTAAAAAGCATTATTATTACATTTTTAATTTCCTCTGATAACTCTCCTAGTTTTCTGCCCATCTTGCTCTCTCTCTCTCTCTCATTGCTTAAATAAAATCTTCTAAATGCCCTCTGAAGTAGTCCAAATGCTTTGAATAACAAAAATTTTCAATCACACTTAAAGGTATTTTTACTTTTCGGTATACAAATTTATCAAAGCTTCCAATGTTGAATACTTATTTTGCTTGCCAAACTACTTTTGCAAATTATAGCAGGGATTTTTTTACTTAGGTTTGTTTTTTTAAACACTAAAACTTCTACATTAGAAACTGAACTGTTATATGCAACAAATAACAAAACATAGTTTCGTTTTTTTTACGTAGTAAGGTATTTAAAGTCTATATTCCGAAAGTCCGAATACTTTTTTTAACCGCTATATAACTAAGGTAAGAAAATAACAAAGGAGTGTGCTCTCGGCCGCAACGAGACCCATCACTTGCGTTTGATCGTAATGCTTCAGTGAAATTTGTTATTTTGAACTAAAAAGCAAACCGTTTTGATCGGTGGAGTGCACAAAGTATTGCGTCACGGGCCACCCCTGACTTATCCCATTTTACAGTTTATATCTCTGGTATTCCATCTATTCTAAATATCATTGTCTGCTCGTATTTAGGAAATTTTTTTATACGCGTTCTTTTATTCAAACAAACATCGAGTTCACTATGACACAAATTTGAAATGGGAGGCTATTTTATATGCAGAACTAAACTGAAACAAATCAGCGTCCGAAACAAATATGCGTCGATGGCATAAGCAAAATGATATAATCTTTGCTTGAAAATATTCAGCAGTCTTTAATATTTATTTTACTTTCTTCTATAACACTTTATGTATAAAAAAAAAATTTACATAACAAATGCACATTGGATGGCAGGGAAGACGACACCGTGAGGGCAAATAGCTTCGTCGGTACTCATGACAACATGATACTTATATATATACGGTTTGAGTAACTGTAGGCTCATGTATGTACTTAAAAGATTTTAATACTGGTAAAATAAAGTAATATATATATATATATATATATATATATATATATATATATATATATATATATATATATATATATATATATATATACACTCTGTCGCAAAAAAATATATGCACCCAGAAGAAATTGAGCTACATTCACGAAATTTGGTATGCATGTAGTGTATATGAAAATAAACAAATGATTAAAAATTCAGAACAAAATATCATTTTATTAAGCGGTTACAGCTTGCAAAAGGTTAAAAATCAGTAAGTAGTAAAGCCACCTCTGGCAGCTATACAAGCCGAAATTCGGCGTGGCATCGATTCAATTAGATCACTTATGACCCCCTTTGGAAGATCCTGCCATAGTCTTTGCATCTGCGCAGTTAATTCTCCTGTATCTCGGGACGTCTGCAGTTGCCTTCCCAGCGCGTCCAGACATGCTCTATTGGCGAAAGATCTGGTGACCTGGCAGGCCATGGTAGGACGTCATATCCTTGAAGACATTGTTGGGAGATTCGCGCAGTATGTGGACGAGCATTATCCTGTTGATAAATGGCACCTGGGCGACTTGATAGCATGGGTAGCACAATCGGCGTTAAAATATCGTCCACGTATCTGCGAGCTGTCAAAGTGCCTTGAAGGACCACTAAAGATGATCGTGTGTCCCAAGAAATTGCTCCCCACACTGTGACACCTTGTGAAATTGCTGTATGCCGCTCGACAATAAATGCCGGATCGGACCGCTGGCCGGTGCGCCTCCAGACACGTGTGCGGTGGTCATCAGCACTGAGACTGAATCGGGATTCATCACTGAAGATGACACGTCTCCAGTCTGTCACACTCCAAGTTGCCCGAGGTCGGCAAAAATCCAGTCGACACTGCCTATGATGTGGGGTCAGTGGTAACCGTCTTAGCGGACGTCGGCTCCTCAAGCCAACTTCGGTAAGTCGTCTCCTTATGGTTTCTCTTGATGGCACTGGATGTCTGGAAGGAGGTAAGTGGCGTTGAATCGATGCTAGAGACGTTGTTGGTGCCGAAGTGGCCACTCTTCTGATTGCACGATCCTCGCGATCATTTGTGTTCCTGGGACGTCCTGACCCTCCGCGACGATACACTCTACCTTCTGTGATCCACTGTTGCCAACACCGAGCAACTACCATATCGCTCCGACCGAGGTGGCGGCCGATACGTCTATTCGACCAACCTGCTTCTCTGAGGCCTATTATACGGCCCCTATCAAAGTCCGTCAGCTGCTCGTACTGCCGCCGGTTACGTCTTAGAGGCATCCTAAGTCTCAATATCGTCTATCAAAGTCATCAGATTCGTTTGGATAGCCGTACGGCGCTCGTACTCATGCTTTTAAACTCTCCCAGTTGCGCAACTAATATGCGCATAGCACACTTAGCCTTGTCTCATTGGCTTCGAAATTTTAATCATTTGCATATCTCTTACCAGACTACATTCTTGCCGAGTTTCGTGATTGTAGCTAGATTTCTTCTGGGTGCATATATTTTTTTGCGACAGAGTGTATATATATATATAAACTTCCTTTTATTTGAAAAAATATCTTAAGTGTTGGATATCGATGAACCTTTTACACAATTGTTCTTATTTTTTTTCTGAAAAACGTATAGATAATTTTTTTTTGAGGGGGGCAGTTTAGAATTGATAACACGATTTTTTCATAAAAACATTTTGAGAATTTGTGTTGCGGAATAGATTTAAGTAAATACGGTAATTGTTTTTAATCTAAAAAGTAGTTTTCATTTTGTCGCGATACATCTAAATAAGATAAGCAAAAAATAGCGTTGAATCTATTTGCTCAATTTCATGTGATGGAATTTAAATAACCCATATTTTTTTTTATATTAAACGCTACTACTCGTAAGATACGCTTGTATGAAATTATGCGTGTTTTCAAGTTTCTTTACCCGTAAGCCCAGAAGACAAAGCACTGAGATAATAATTGAATTTCAAGCATCACATGGACTCGTAATCCAAGATAAAAGCATTCAGTTGAATAAATTAAATGACACGTGACAAACATCTGTATTTATTAGGTATAACTATTTAATTGGGACATATTATACATAACTTATTTACACACCGCAAATGATGAATTCAAACTTAGGTTTCCTTATTACAATGCAAAATATACATGTCTACATTTCGTTCCTTATTTAATTTTTAATTAGTAAAATAATTTTATATGCGATGTTTTGACTGTATAGGTAACTAATAATTTTTCACTTCTTTTATTTCTTGTTATTATAACTTAGAAATTTAATTTTGGCCTCCAACTTTTTTTATATGCGCCATAAAAAAACAACTGAAAAAAATTCCCAGTAGCATACATTAAGAAATTAACAAGTATAAGCAAATCTGGGAAAATATTTCAAGAAATCGCACAGGTTTGAATTAATAAATTTAATACAATTGTTGTAGTTAAATATAATAAGTAAGTTAAAGATAGGATGGAGAATAAAATTT